AAAAAAAAAAAAAAAAAAAAAAAAGCATATATATATAATGCTGATTAATGCTTTTTTAGAACTTGTATATGACGATCAGATAAGAAAGAGTTACAGTGATTAATCTTGAAAGTTACAAATGCATTGATAAGGCTTTCAGTGGAAATTTTCTACTACGAAAAAAGCTAGGGAAACCCTGGCTACTGTTCTTAAACGTTATTGCCTTAAAATAACAAAGAAATCCTAAGCAGAAATGGATTGCAGAAATTATGATTTATCATGATTTAGACGGGGAAGCATGAGTGGCGTACCGGTGAGGGCGGTCGCCTCTCACCAATGCGGCCAGGATTCGAGTCCCGTTGGTCTCGGTTTCGTATGTGAGTAGAGCTGCTTGTTGGTCCTTTCCTGTGCTTCGCGGGTCTCCCTGTTTATTATTATTATTTATTATCATTATAGCTTGGATCGGGAAATCTAAATTTAGACTTATGGGTTCAACACGTTTTAATCTCAGTTTTAATTTACCATTTTACTAATGCTAGTAGTAATACCTTGTCTGATGTTCTGAACGTGTGGAAGCTTTGATTTTAGTTGGTAGATTACATCCTCTCCAAGCGGAGCGCCACCACACATAATACTCTTTAAATGGGACAAATCAAAATTTCCAACCAAAGGATCCTTTGCAAGAAAGATTGCAATAGGCGGCACGATGTTGAGAGCATTAAGCTGTGGACAGCAAAATAATTCATACTGCTTCATCTGAATTATTATTAATAAAAAAAAACCCAAGATTAAAACCGGACAATGTTTACCAAGTTATGATCTTGTTTTAAGATCGGTTCTAAATTATTCGTTATTATCAAAGCAGAAATACTACAAGTACTGTGATGATGTTGGTATTACATTTTGGGGCAAAAGTGATAGCACGGCAAAAAAGGTCGCAATATCCACTAATTTTGCAAAAAGGAAAACGGTTGGATGAAGCGACCAATGTTAATGATTATAACCATTAACAATTGGTTGTAACTACCAATTATAATTGGTTAGTTTTTCACATTTGCACTGGTCAATTACAAAAATTAAATGGTTAAAACGACCAATATTAATGATTATAACCATTTGAAATTGCTTGAAACTACTAATGATAATTGGTTAGTCCTTGACTAACCAGGAATCAAAACCGCAATAGCAAACAATCTCGGTCTCTTTCTTTTCAAGTCTCGGACGAGTTACCGGCGTTTGCATTGCTACGCGGCCACCCCAGACAAAAATCGCGACTTGCACTTTGCAATAGACTGCCGTCAATCAAACAAGTTGACGCCATTTTACACGCGTTTGGATCGGCCCGGATAGGCCCGGTGAGTGTGGCTCATAATAGTTGGCGCCTTTTGAGTCACACACGCGTGTAAATGGCGTCAACGTGTTTGATTGACGGCAGTCTATTGCAAAGTGCACGTCGCGATTTTTGTCTGGGGTGGCCGCGTAGCAATGCAAACGCCGGTAACAGCAAGAGTTTAGGAAATAAGTGTGTTTTCAATATAGCGTTTCTAAATAGGTTAAATGAAAAGCTAACTACAGAAGATGTTCTATAGTACCAGTTTCTTAAAAGATCAAAGCTCAAACTAAGGTAAATAACGTTAAGGTATTTCCCTTGCTTTGCACTGCGCATTTTTCTGCGCATGCAACTAAAAGCATGGAATTTTCACTTTTTTCTCTGTTTTTAGTAGAGAAATTGCGATTTTTACTTTCACTTTACTCACGAATAGAACATTGTTTCAACTTTTCAATTTCTAAATATCGACGTTTTATTTTTTGAAAGTTCTTTATATTTCATGACGTGCCAAAGTCATTTGGTAATAAAAAATTTTCCGTCAACGTAAATTTTTTGGAAGATAATAAAATTTCATAGATTTGAAGCCAAGACAATGCTAAAAAAAAGTATTTTTAAAAATGAAGCCCATACACATTTTTGCAAAGGCAAAAGGGCCCTCGAAGTTGGGTGATATTTTGGCTCTCATCACACAGGGTCATTTATTGGGCAATTTGGCTTTTCCAATTTTTCTCGAAAAAAAAAAGCCATATTTCAAAAAACGAAGTATCGTACGATTTGTTTTGGCTATAAGTCTACCTTATACTTGAATATAAGCAAATCCACTTTTTGACTGTTGCCAGCAAATTTCGATTTTGTTTGAATTTTGCTGACATCTTCTCTTAATGGTGTATTTTACCATCATAAATTGGTTATTATAACCAGATATAAGTGGTGTATTTTACCCCATAAATTGGTTATTATAACCAATTATTCAAAACCATTGGCAATTGATTACCACAGATCCACTTTTCAACCATTTTTTAGGGTAGGTTCAACCAATCTATTTTTACAGTGTACCAGTGCGATAATCCACATAATATACAAATTATCCCGTACGCTAAAACGCGGGGCGAATTCACCCCCAATAATAACCCCCATTTGTTGTGTCTTACCAGCGTTTTACCTACTTTCTCCTGCTACAGGATTATTAATCAGCCGTTTACCTACATTTTACCCTTGTTATTCCGATGAGATAATAATAGGTGTTCCTAGAATTATCTCGTCATGGCTTGTATTTAGGTCTAATTATAATTCCATTTAGAGAATAAATTTTGCTAAATACAATAGAATAAAGTTTGGATGTTTTTACAGATTAAAAAATATATATTTTTTTTTTATCGTGTGATTTACACGTAGGTATCTACGGTAGATATATAAAACTTTTTTTAAAAAAGTCGGAGATCGTTATTTGAAATTTCTATCATACCTAAATTAAATCTTCGAAGAGTAAAAAGTTTTGGGCTTCCTGTGAGCAATAGCAATAACTACCAATGAAAACACTGCATTTCAACACGTGACAAGATTTGAATAGCTTGGCGGTCATTTTCACTAAACCGTCGAAGTAAAATCAACGACAAAGATTTGCTTGGTTTATTCCCTTCTGTTGTGCTAAAATGGCTTTTTATGGTTGGTTACTGATGCGGGGAAGATCTTGGAAACATTTTGACTAAAATAATTTTGTTTTGGAAGAAGAGGGCCGCAAAAGAGCCAAATACTCGCTTCGTATGGCTAGTTATTCTTCATCGAACTACAGGATTTGCAGTTGAAGCTCGTAAAGGCGCAAAGATCGTTTGGTACGTTGTATTTGCTAACTTATTCAGTACAATAAACCTAATAACATGTTGTTCAAATGAAGAGTTAGTCTTAATGTGAGGAATATGAGTTTAATAAACTGAAGTTTATTCTTGCTTCGATGTTTTACAGCCCCAAGTAACAAGCAAATGTTTATTGTAAACGATAAGGTCAAATGTCTTTAAAAAAACTACAAAATATGCTTTCCAAAATACAACGATACTATAAACTAATAGAATAAGAATAGAATATTATAACTCTAATAATAAGAATCGCGCGCGATACAAAACTAATTACGATTTTGAGACGACAATACCACGAAACATTGACGGCTAGTTGAGAGAAAACATATTCAAATACACTTTCTTACAACGCCGTCAATATTGTCGTCTCAAAATCGTAATTAGTTTTGTATCGCGATTCTAAAGAATTAAACACTCACAAAAAAAAGGAAATAACTGACCGATTTTAGTTGATTAAAAGCGGAATTCTCCTTAAGAGCGCGCTATAGCGCAAGCAACAAGCGTAAAAATTTGACGCGTACCCGCTCAAGCTTTGCTTTTCGTCGCCTGAAAGGTTTATTCATCAGCGAAAATGTTTGAACACTGAAACAGTTTTGACATAAATGGACCAATAATTACTTTGATGATGAAATAAGCTGGGAGGATTTGCCTAAAATTCGATATTTTGTTGGACAAATATGATTCTGCATCGGCAGAAAGACAGTTAACGAGTACCGGCGAATATAAAAGTGTCCAGCAACCAAAAAAAAAAACCTTCCTTGGCGAGAAAAATAGCGGTGAAAAAAGGATTTCTCTTTTTGTTATATTGGAGGATGATGAAATAGAAAACTTGCACAAGCACTACTACAGTCATCCAGACTTACAGCAACTCAAGAGAGGAGAAAGCTGACGAGAAACGCATGCTGTCAAATTTGCTGTCAAATTCTACACTTAATATCTGCCACATAAAGATTCATTTTTACAAAATGTGACTTCAATTTTTTAGGAAAAATATTCCTTTTGTCTGAGAGAAGAAATAAAAACACTTTGAAGTGTATTTTCAAACATTTATATTTAAAAAAACAATTTGTAAACACTGAAAACAATTTTCAATAAATTTGCCTTGTTGCTGTATAGTCGGCGTTTTTTTGTTGCATAACAAAACAATTGCTGTCAAAATCGCGCGCGTTAGCCAATCAGAAACCTTAATTTTGAAACGACAATACTTACAAAATATTGTCGTCTCAAAAATATAAGAGACTATTTAGTGAATCGCGATACCACACAATTAAATACTCTTTTCTAAAAATATGTATATGATTTTATATATGTATTTTGTGTCCACCTACTGATTTCTGTCAGTAATTTAATCTATTATATTAATGATGTTTTATTATATGATATTATTTTTTACAGAGCCATCGCATCTACATATAAGACGGCAAAGAAAATAAACAAAGAGAAGAAGCAACAAGAAGATGCAGAGAATGCTAAGGGTAGGTAGACTTGAACTCAAAAGTTTCTCATGAATAAAATGTGTTGTTATCCTAATAAAGATGTACTTTGTTACCTTTTCAGATTTTTAATGATTTTCTAATAATTTTTTATCAACGGAATTCAAGGATATAAAAAGGGCAAATCTATCAACATTCAGACAAGAAAGAAAATGAAAAAAGCCTTGTCACACAGCATCTCTTTTGGATAAATAAAGACAGTTCTGTTTCCTTTCCTGTGTTTTTATACTTGTTGACATTCGAATGTTTCAAGGTATTTCGCTCAATTTCATATTTTAAATGCTCGATTTAGAGGTAAGATGATAAATAAGGGAAGCAAGGGTGGCGTAGCGGTGAGAGTGCTCGCCTCTCACCAATGCTACCCGGGTTCGAGTCCCGCTGAGCTCGGTGTCGTATGTGAGAGAGTTGTTTGTTGGTCCTCTCCTGTGCTTCGAGGGTTTTCCGGGTTGTCCGGCTTTCCTCCCTCCGCAAAAATCAACTCCTAAATTCCAATTGGAATTACAGTGGATGAATAGCTACTCTGTAGGAATGCCACTGCTAAATCCCATTTATTTATTTATTATTTATTATTTAAGTCGTCCTTTTATTTTCCTTTTAACACCTACTTTGTTTAGTTCTTTGTTATTTTGTTGAGTTTAGATTCTGTGATTCTGATGATTGTCTGAAGCCAACGAAAGACGACTTCGACAGACTTTTTATTGCTAAGTCTTCTGAAAAACGAATTCTGGTTTTTGTTTTTAATTTAAAAGTCGGGCCGAGTGCTTTATTTCAGGAATCATTCGCTTAAATCTTTTTGGCTAACAAAAAGCGTTACGTTATGCGTTACTACTTATCTTGACCTTCAAGGGTCACGGCGCTTACAGTCGATTTGTTGCCCGAAATTTTTAAATTAAACACTTTATTTACACTGTGAATTAAGCGAATATTTTATAGAAATTGGTTTAGAAATACTATTTAATTTGTCTTCATTCAAGTCTGTAAATTACGGATTATTTATTGGAGGAAATTCTCGTTAGTTGTCTCGAGCGACAAATAAAAATCTATTGTGTAGATTGGTACCTTCGCAGATTAAAAGAACATTGCTTCGGCGATCAATCTACTTTTTTAATATTCAGAATGGCTTATTTGGATAACAAAACTGGCTGAATGCTCTTCAAGACTCCATTGGAATTGTTCATAATTTTTCTACGATCTACACATTGATTTAATCTGTTAAGAAGCCACTTTATTAAAGTAAACAGCAGTTCTAATAAAACGTCGCTCGATCGAGTTTATACGATTTTTTTGCTGATCGGCCGCCGTGACTTTGACCTTTCTCTAATGAGAATGAATTCCTCCAAAGCTTGACAGATAAACGCTTAATTATCGAGCTGCTAACATCTTAGTGAGTGAGTGAGCGAGTGAGTGACACATTTGCATATTCAGACCCCTCACAATAACTCGTTTCTACGCTTCGCGTATCCACGAGTTAAAAAGGGCATTCGATTATCGCAGCGTAAAATATTATTTAAAGTAATTTACAAGCTGTTCCCCAAAGAAAAATTAATAGCAATAATACCCATGCATTATGCATGCATGAACCCCACTAGAAAACACGATAAAATGTGCATAATCTATTGACTATCCCAACGAGAAAATCTAGGCACAAAATACGTTATCCTTACTTATTCCAGTAGGATAACTGGGTAAAACTCGCAGTATTCCTTGATTATCGCGTTGGAGGATAATTCGGTAAAATGGTACGTTTACTTATGATTGTCCCAACGGTAAGATGCAGGGATAACTCGAGTTATGAAAGCGGTAAAATGCTGGATTATGAAGGGATTATGTAACGTTAGGACTACGTTATCCCTAAGTCGTTTCGCGGTAAAACGCGACCTTTTTTGCATTGTAGATTAAAAAATGATAATAATAGCTCGATCAGAATATAGTTCAGTTTCCCGACGGCATGCTTGGATCAACTCTATGTCGGCGGCATGCGTTTAGCAGGGGGGAAAAGAGGAACAATTGGTATGCTTTGGTTCCTTATCTAATGGCAAATAGTTGTCGCCCCTCTAGAGTGCGTGACAGAAATCACAACCTAAAGCTACTGTTGAATCCTTATTATCTTGTTGTGATTTCAACATGATATAAAGATGTACGTTTTCGAAATTTAGAATTTTTTGCAAACTGCTTCCCTTAGCCGTACAATGCCCTATTTGAAAACTTCACGCAGTTTGATAAACGGGAAGTATTTTCCCTATAATGTCTAAATTTTCAAAAATATCGTATTGGCCGTTTCTAAATATTTGTACAAGGACAGGCCCAGTATGTTCTTACCTTATGTTCTTGGATGCATTCTAAAAATGCTGCAGGTCTATATTTCACCATACATATGATTTTTCCTCCAAGGTACAGCCCTAAACCAAGAAGGGCGCTTAAACCATAGATATGAAACATTGGCATTAAACCAAGCATGACCAAACCATCCTCTGGCACAACATAAAAACTTTCATGTGTCGCAATAAGAGCGTGAGCAACAAGGTTGTAATGTGTTAGCATAACGCCTTTTGGAAAACCTGTAGTACCACTTGAGTAAGGCAAGAAGACAACATCTTCTTTCCAGCTTTTTGGGACAAAGTTTAAGGGGAAATATGAACCGTCATTCTCCAGTAACATATTAGAAAGTGATATACATCCTTCTGCCTCTCCAAGGACAAAAATATTCTTTACAGTTATTTTTGTAGATGCTTCTATCGCCTTTTTGACTAAACATGGAAGTGTTACTATGTACGAAGCACCAGAATCTTGTAATTGGTGAATCATTTCATTTACAGTATATTCAGGATTCACTGTAGTAACGATTCCGCCAATTGCCGTTATTCCATAAAGTACGATTGGAAATTCAACGACATTTGGTAAAATTATTGCAGCCACTTCATTTTCTTCAAACCCTTCTTGAAGAAGAGCAGAACCACATTTCATAATCAAACGCTTCAACTCTTTATAAGTATAGAATTGGCCAGAGGAGTTATCAACCTGGTGATAGTACAGAATTTTATTATACATTAAGGGAATGTAGGGGTCACGTTTCAACGACAAATACCTAGACGATTAATTTATATTTTGATTTTGTCTTATCTCATGTCATACTTTAACTAAGGCTCTATAGGAAAGGTACTATCAACTACTAAAACCAACTTACTGAATACGTGGGAAATGCCACAGCTTTATTGCATTTTAATAAAGGAAAAGGCTAATTGTACAAGAAATTCAAAATGACGGACGTTCTAACTCTGAAGTATTCTAACATAAAAGACATTCAAGGACTTAATGTCTTTAGACAAATATAGGGAAATTATAAATACTTACCATAGCTATTTTGTCCCCATGCCGTTCGAACGTCGCTAAGATAAAGTGTGGAAATGACTGAGGAGTATCAGGAATGGGAACATCAAAAGCGCTTCGTATAACCGCCATACTGTTAACACACTCTGCTGTTTATATTCTTCTCAAACTCATTAATAATTTATGAAGTCAATGAACATTGGCGACTTTGCATTGTATTTACGTGCACGCGCCTTGATACTGGATCAAAAATAGATCAAGACACTGATCAAAACACTGATCAAGACACGAATAAAATTTAAATCATAATTGACAGCCTTCTCACTAATTAGCTATATCAAATTGCAAAATTATTGTAGCTAAACACGTTCAAATAATTATTCTGTTGGTGGAGCTAAATTGAAAGTACAGTTTTCAATTTCCCCCCTTCAATAACAACTTTTTGTCTCCTTTCTCTTTACAAACCTCCATAACGAACTTACTTAGCCAGTACTTACTAAGTCAATGCGTCCATGTTCTTATTTTTTGTCTAATGTCTTCACTTTATTTAATTCATAATCTTTGAAAAGACCTATATATATATATATACTTGATTGCAGAAAGGTTGAGGTATATATTTATACAGATACCTAATGTGATGCAAGATATCAAATGAGATGCAGAACGTAAAACATGCTTAAATACGATTGCTTAACTGCTACGTTTTGTGGAAATTACTTTTTGAACTTGAATTTGTGCAATACTTAATGTCTATGATACAATTTAAGATAAGGGACCGGTCATTATTTAAGTTGGAGGGGGGTAGGGGGAGGGGGGGTGTAGAGGAGGAAATGGGGGCCCTGAATTTTTTTAAGCAAAAACGAGGGGGGTCTTGAAATTTGAAAATGATAGATAGGGGGGTCTTGAGAAAAGTTATTTTGGGTATATATATGAATTCAAGTTATTTTAAAATTTGCAATAAAAATAAATTGTTTGTTACACCTTCTCATCATGGGTAATATCATACAATTTAACCACCATATTGTATGGTATTTTTGACAATGACCTGTTTTAATGAACTTTTATGATTTGTATACTATTGTTCATGCTAAGTATCATATCTCACTATATAAGAAGAATACATGTATATATTGAATATGAACAAATCTTTTCAGATTTAATTTCATTATATCTTTCGACTTCATGCTACTAGTTTGTTATAGAATGAATGGAATTAATTCTGTAGTATTTTTATCGATCTACAGTTATACCCTGTCTTATTATATCTAGAGTAGTACCTACATTGCAGAAAAAATCAACACTCTTTACATTCAAAAGGTTTTTGTGGAACTGTTCAATTTGTACATGGAATTTCTCATTAAAGTAACCACATAAGTGGAGTGTTTTGACATACTATTTATGCCATTTTTAACTAACTACTGAAACCCCTTCCCTTCATTGGGGCAGAACAAAACATTTTTTAACAAACGGTACTAGTGTCAATGCTTATCACTCTCTGAATCACTGTCTGAATCACTCTTTGAATCATTWCTTGATTCACTATCAGACCTTTCACCAGTTTCTGCTGGTTGTGTATTTGTTGCACCTTTTGAAAGAAAGGCAGACAATGTCATCTGTTTACCCTTTGCTGCTTTTAAAGTATTTGACACTGCAGTTGATAAGAGGTACTTCCAAGTTCTTTATTGCTTCTTTAACTTCAGGAAGAACACACTCACTAACATATCCTTGTTGGACTAGGTCTTATATATATATATATACACACACACTCGATTGCAGAAACGTTGTAGTATACATTTATACTTTTATACAAATATCTAATGAGATGCATAATGCAAAATAACCATTTTCGATGCTTAAAACCAACTGATTTATAATCTGTACGATCTAAAAGACAAGAACAAAATATTTTGACGTTCATTGATTGAAATAAATAAAGCGAGTTTTCTGTTTTGCATAACATTAAATATACTGAATAAATTAG